CTTAGTCCTCAAGGAAACATTCTTGCTCGTCATCACTTGAAAGAGGTCCTTTGCAGCTGACTTGCCCATTGCTACACGTCATCTGATGTCCTGACTGCTGCTTCCATTGGCATTGATTGTAAACCAAGCAATGTGAAGTCTTTGACAACTTCAATCTTTTCTGTATTTATTGTGATGCTGCTTATAGGTCCAGTTGTGAGGATTTTTGCTTTCTTTGTATTGAAGTGTAATCCATACTGCAGACTGTATTCTTCAGTCTTCATTACATACATACTGCAGACTGTATTCTTCAATCTTCAATCTTCATTAATAAGTGCTTCAAATCATCCTCACTTTCAGGAAGTAAAGTTGTGTCATCAACAACTGTTGTTGAATATTCACAAAATAAGTAATTGACATATAAAATACAGTGGGAGTAGCTTGAAAACCACTAGGCATTTGCTCTGTCATTTCTATGGACCATCTTTTATACTTTTCTAGTTAAGGAGTAAGTAAGGCATCCCTGGGACTTGCCTGGGAATGTTAAATTCTGGGAATTTTCCTAGCTTCCCCATCAGAATTGTTCAGATATTTCTTTGGTCTATTCTGAGGAATGTTGTCTTAGTTCCTAGTGCTGCTGTAACAAAAATAACACACGTGGGTGACTATAGAGAAAAGATATTTATTTACTCACAGTTCTGGAGCTAAAAGTTCAAATCATAGTTTTGGCTGTGTCAGTTTCTTCTTTGTAGGTAACTCTGAGTATTCCTTGGTTCCTTGGTGATCCTCATATGGCATTTTTCTTTAGTATGTCTAATCTTTTATAACTCAGAAGTGATTGGGTTTAGGATTGTTGGTCTCACAGGCTTACATCCACAGATACAGAGGTTAGGATTCCAGTATGTATTTTGGAGGACATAACTTAATTCATAACAGATGTGAAATGTAATTCCTTTGAATTGGTGGTGGTGGTGGTTAAGGTTGTGTGTCAGCTCCGCTGGGTCTAGTTTTGAGTGGCTGGGCAGCTGGGTATAGTTACTCCCGTGATGAGTCTGGTAATCAACTCTGTGGTGGAATCTACTGTGAGCAGTTGAGTAGCTGCTTTAGGGATGTGGTCTGCTTTGTCTATAAGAAGACAGCTTTGGGAAAGGTTGCTGAGCTTTTTGGCAAACTTGGAACCCACATGTAGCTCAGTCTTCATTCAGCAGCCTGCCATTGTGGCTCTGCCAATCTTGGGACTGTTTCTGGACTTGAACTAGTGGCCTGTCATGTTGTTTGATAATCTTGGGACTGTGCCATTGCACTTGTCAGCCTTGGGTTTGTTGGCCTCAGCAGCCAGAAGCTGCCTGAGTGAAGAGATGCCTCCAGCTTCAGTGGGCCGGGAGCAAGAGGTAGAGCTGAAACCAAAGTCCTTCACTTAGCTCCTAGAGCTGGCACTTTGAACTCTTAACTTCTAGCCACCTAGACTGTAAGAGAATAAATTTCTGTTTGTTAAGGCCACCATCTTGGGGGTATATTTTCTGTTGGAACAGCACTAGATGACCAAAGCAGTGGTTAACAATGTGCAGTCAGATTGCCTGAATTTAGATCCAAGCTGTGTGACCTTGGACAAGTTAAGTAATCTCTCTGACCCTTATTTAGCCATTTGTGAAATGTAGATGATAATAATGTCTACTATTGTAATGGGTTATTGTGTGAGGATTAACTACATTAATATAACACACTTAGAGCAGTGTCTGGAATTTAGTAAGTAAGTGTTCAGTAAATGCTATTATGTTGACTGCTGAATATTACAATATAATGTTCTATTTATGTTTCTACTTTTTTTTACTAGACTTAAATCTTAAGAGACATGTCTTACCATTTATGTTGGTAGGAGCTAACATAGTACTCAATCAATAGCTACTGATGAATGTGAATGACTGATAAAATCATATCTCACAGAAAGCGTCTTACTTTATAAGATACCTTTGCAGGTTTATGTTTTCTTATCTTCATTATGACCCTAAGCTCCTAGCTCCTGCTCTAAATCCCTGTGGTTAGTGGGGAATCAATAAACATTTGTTGAATAAATGTAACAATAACCAAGTTTGCCCACACTCAGCATCATCACTGTCATCCCCTGACATGGAATCCTGCAGAACATGCACTGCAGGGATATCGAGGTACTTACTGTTCTTTAAATCTGCTCCTCAGTTCACATCTTCCGTGCCTTGGCACAGCTAGTTTCTACCTGCTTGTCTTTCTCTACTTTGTCTACCAGGGAAACTCATACTCATCTCTCAATTCTATCTTAGGCATTCTTCCTCCAGAAAGTCTTTTTTGATCCAGGTAGGTAGAGCCAACTCTCTTTCCCTCTCTCCCCTACCCCAACTTGTCTTTATCATTATTTCATTGAAGGCTTTTGCTATGTCTTATATATCATAGCATCTAAACACCTACCATAGAACCTAATATAGAGTGGTAATCAAGTAAACTTACTGAATAAATAGCCATGTTGATCTGTATACTGACAGGCCTCAAATACATTTGTTTTTTCCATTCTGGATCATAAATGAGTAATTGTATACATACATAAAAGCAAAAGGCAATTGGAATCACCTGCCTGATATTAAAGGGGTTAAATCACCTCAGTGCATTACTCCCTTGTCTTGGGTACTCTGTGGCAGAAGGTACCCATTTAGGAGCATATAGGCCCGATTTTGAGGTTAATTTGCATGTGTGGAGCAGAGGGAACACAACTGGCTCATGCAGGGCTTGAGCCATGACCTTGACTTTATTGCCTTGGTATTGAAAGCCCATAGGTGCTTATTCTGGAGAGGTAAACATGCCCCTGGAAGGTCCTAACAGTTGGGAAATGGTTACATTCATCAGAAGAAGGCCTGGATTAATAAAAATATCAAGAACCGCTGTTACCATATGGAGACCTAGGAAAACAATACAAAAGAATATCGGCACCCGGCAATATGAAGACATGAATTGGTGCCAAGAATAGAGCCTTGCCTCACCCATGCCTGGCCATGGACTACATTTCTGAGTGCTCTAATAAGGACCCCCTGTCTGAGTCAGCTGCAGTTGCCCAGGTCCTTTAGTTAATGAGATTAATGCAAGTAGTTACAATGAGTTCAGAATGACTTTGAATTTAGGTCTCCTAGCAGGGTACATGGGAGCTCTGGTAGCATAGTGGCTAAGACACTTGCCCGCTAACCAGACGGCTGGCGGTTCAAACCCACCAGCCACTCCTTGGAAGGAAGGTTGGGCAATCCTACTTCCATAGTGATACTGCCTCGGAAACCCAAGGAGGGGTCGCTATGAGTCGGGGCCGACTCAACGGCACATAACAACAACAACAACAGCAGGGTACATGGGGGGAGAATGTTGGTGGTTCCAAATTAGTATCTTGTTTTCACTGTTCCAAATATTTGGAGTGTTTCTTATAAAAAAAGTAAGATGACTGCAGATTGACTGTGCCCAGTTCTGGGTTAATATCCACTGGGAAGCAATAACTGTAATGAGTGCAGAATTCTATACTCTCTACCCCTCTTACAAAATGGTGTCTGTGTGGAGTGGTGGTGTCCTGCACAAAGAGGAGAGAGAAGAGGATTTTGTGATACCCGATTTCCTCATGGGGAGATTAAGCTAGGAAATGAATTAATAATAAATGCAAAGTGCTTGGAGTATAGCTGGCAAACCATTCTCGCTCTGTAAGTACAGTATGTTGCCCTTTGTTTGGAAAAACACAACTAAACAAACATTCTTGAGAAATGCTTTTTTTTTTTTGGTTTGATGCTTGGCCATCTCGGTCCTTTGCTTCTAGACAAAATCACAGGAACCAGGCGGTTGTATATGTGGAGGCCTGACTCAGAAGCTGCAGCCCTCTCTGGACTTGGCCCCCACACACACCGCCTCTCTCATTCGCATTCTCAAACACAGCCACACTTGCACTAACCCTGAGTTGTGTTGACCCAGGCCATTCAGATGCGAAGGAACTAGTCCCATGGTAGCTGGAATTAACTCCTCTCCCTTCTGGTACCAGAATGTTTCTTTTTTCTGTCCTCTGCTGAAGATCTGAAGGTCCATGGTGTGGGCTGATGATGGCAACCATTCAGAGAATCCAGGGAATTCTGCCCCACAGCTGGGCAGGACCCTGTACCCTTGTGTCAGCACCCAACAATGAGGGTACTCTTGCATAATTTCTGGCAGTAATTTGTCTCCGAGTGGATCTCTAATGCATACATTTTGTAAGGAATAGGTTGGTGTCAGTGAATATTATTTTAATTTTAAACCAGCTGGAATTTACTGAGTCCCTATCCTCTGAAGTGCTTTACGTGTATCATCATATTGATTTCCACAAGTACCAATGAAGCAGAAATGACAATCATTTTGAAGCTGAGGAAACTAAGGCTTCTCACACCCACTGTCATCAGGTCGATGCCTGCTCACAGCGACCCTGTAGGACAGTAGAATGCCCAGTAGTTTCCAAGTCTATAAGTCTTTACAGGAGACTGCCTCATCTTTCTGTTGAGGAGCAACTGGTGAGTTAGAACTGCAGACCTTTTGGTTAGCAGCTGAATGCATTAATCGCTGTACCACCAGAGTTCATAACTAAGGCTTAGAAGGATGGATAAGGAAATTTCCTGAGATTGCACTGTTAATGAATGACAAAGCTGGAATTCAAATGAAGGACTAATTCTGAAAATACTTCTAAATAGAAAAAAAGATAAAAGGATACATTAAATTATTTTAAAGCACAAAGTTGTTTTTAAATGATATAATGAGGGTTACTTGTTGTTGTTGTTAGGTGGGTTTGAGTCAGCTCCAACTCATAGTGACCTTATGTACAACAGAACAAATCAATGCCCGGTGCTACACCCGAGCTCTCCTTACAGCCACCATCAATCCATCTCATTGAGGACCTTCCCCTTTTTTGCTGACCCTCTACTTTACCAAGCATGATAACCTTCTCCAGAGAAAGGTCACTTCTGACAACATGACCAAAGTAGGTGAAATGAAGCCTGGCCATTCTTGCTTCCAAGTAGCATTCTGGCTGCACTTCCTCTAGGACAGACATGTTTGTTCTTCTGGCAGCCTAGGTACTTTCAGTATTCTTTGCCAGCACCACAACTCAAAAGCATCAGCTCTTCTTCTGTCTTCCTTATTCATTTTCCAGCTTTCACATACGTGAGGCAACTGAAATTACCATGGCATACCTTAGTCTTCAAAGAGACATCTTTGCTCTGCAGCATGTGAAAGAGGTCTTTTGCAGCAGATTTGTCCAGTGCGATCCAATGTCTGATTTCTTGACTGCTGCTTCCATTGGTCTGGATTGTGGATCCAAGTAATATGAAATCTTTGACAACTTCAATCTTTTTTGCACTTATCATGATGCTGCTTATTGGTCCAGCTGTGAAGATTTTCTTTTTTTTTTTTTATGTTGAGGTGTAATCCATACTGCAGACTGCAGTCTTTAATCTTCATCAGTGAGTGCTTCAATTCATCTTCACTTTCAGCAAGCAAGGTTGTGTCATCTGCACATTGCAAGTTGTTAATGAGTCTTCCTCTGATCCTGATGCTACATTCTTTTTCATATAGTCCAGCTTCTCAGATTATTTGCTCAGCATACAGATTGAGTAAGTATGGTGAAAAGATATAACACTGACACACTTCCTTCCTGATTTTAAACCATGTAGTATTCCCTTGTTCTGTTCGAGCAACAGCCTCCTGGTCTATATACAGGTTCTTCATGAGCACAGTTAAATGTTCTGAAATTCCTATTTTCTCAATGTTATCCATAATTTGTTATGATGCACACAGTCACATGCTTTTGCATAGTCTATAAAACACAAGTAAACATCTTTCTGGTATTCTTTGCTTTTAGCCAAGATCTGTCTGACATCAGCAATGATATCTCTTCATTCCATGTCCACATCTGAATCCAGCTTGTGTTTCTGGAAGTTCCCTGTCAATATACTGTTTCAACCATTTTGAATTATCTTCAAAATTTTACTTTCATGTGATATTAATGATATTGTTCAATAATTCCCACATTCTGTGGAGTCACCTTTCTTTGGAATGAGTACAAATATGGATCTCTTTCAGTCAGTTGGCTTGGTAGCTGTCTTCCAAATTTTTT